TGTAAAATAGCTTAGAGAGGAGTATGATGCCTATAGTTGGTGTAATGCATTGGTAATTAAGAGGGTGTGAGGTTAAGCTTCATTAACTGCTGTGGGATTGTATCTTGGATTTTATTATCCCCTAGAGAACGTAAGAAGTGAGAGAGGTCAAACTGTTAGAATCTGATTTTGCTTAGTGCATCTGCCAAAACGAGGCAAGCAAAGTAATGTGGTTGCGAACACAGAAAGACCTGGATTGTTAGCAGATATGGATTGTACATCATTTCCTTTCCGTTCATTACACAGATAAAATATTTATTAACAAAATAGATTACTGCATGTCTGCATAAGTGTCATAAGTTTGGTTTGTTGGAGACAGTATTATTATAATCGGATTGTCATTTAGTATTAGCACTTTAGAATAACATTTTTTCAAAAATATTTTTTCCTTTTAAAACAAGGCAACAAACTTCCTTCTGTTTTTGTTTTTTTCCTTTCTGCATCTCCCTCTAAACACAGATGGATGCCCCAACCAAACCACACTTAATAACTTTAGCACTTGTCTGCTTTTTTGTATTTTCATGCTGCATAGCAAAGACTTGTATTTTATTTGACCTCAAAAAATGCTGTATTTTTTTATTATTTTTTTAAACTGTTGCACTGCTACATGCTTTGGGTTTTTTTGTTTGTTTGTTTGTTTTATGTACCTTATGAAAGATATGTCTTCTTTTAGCCTGGGAGAATATAACAGTTCTCAGGAGCTGACACACTGATGCCACAAAATTGTCAGTCCCAAAGCTTTTCAAAGCTATATGATGTAGGAGCTGAGATGTTTTTAAGCAAAAATAGGATAAATAGGGATTTTATGGGTTGATAAATCCACTCTGTTTCTTGGTCTTTTGTTTTTATAATGAGCACTTTTAGTTCCAAATTTTAGAAGCAACTTTTAAGTGTTTTAATAATCTTCTATGCTGAGATTCTGATTTTGATTCTAATAATATAAATTTATTTACTTAATCCTAAAGAGGCTCAGAATCTTTTTGGATTCAGGAATTATCAAAATGGAATTATCCTACTGATAACTTCAGGAGACTTTTTTAAGTGTTTTTATATCTGATTGATAGAGAAGTATAGTTCTAAATCATCTATGTTTGAGTGAAACTTCTGTTAAAAAAAAAAAAAGCATTATTGCTTTTGTTTCTTTATTTGTAATGAATCTGGGAGAAAGGGAGTTGTGATAGTCTTTGAGCTAAAACTATTAAATCTTCTGCACCCAGATATTTTGAGGAAAAGTCCAGGCTTCATCGTCTTTAAATGTTGCTCACTGAAGCTATGTCCTCAACTGCTCTCTATGTGAGTCCATTTCAGATATATTTTGGTGTATTTGTGACAGAAGCACCTTGTGTTCTGGGGCTTGTTGGGCTGGTCTGCTTCACCCTTTCCATACCTCTTTTATTTTTCCTTTTCTTTAAAAAGAAACAAAACAATCTGAGAAATGATTAATGCTTTGTGATTCTCAGACAATAACAAAACTTCTCATGGTAATGAAAAGTTGTGAAGTATATATCCAACCAGACAGCCTTTATCTGTGAGAACAGGACATAGCTGTGTCCTGAGAGCTGGAGCCTTTCTCCTGCTTAGGTACTCTGTATCACTCAGATGTGGTCAGTTTTGTGAAGAGCTATGTCCTTAAAACAAAGAATAGCTTTTAATTTGAACAGTTGTCAGAAGAATGCATGTATGTTGGCTTTTCATCAGCAGAGATGTACCTTCAAACAGCATTATTTAACCTCTCTTTTATGCAGTTTAGTGTAAATAGGGGGAAAAAAAAAAGAGTAAATAGAAGCTGGGGTAATAGGGATGAAGTTACAATGCAAATCTGGAGGGAAAGAAATGTTACTAGTTCTGTTTGTGGATCTTTGTTTAAAACATATTTATGTTACAGGTAAACCCATACCATGAATAGGAATGGAACATTTCTCCTATTCATGCTTAAGAACAATATCTCAGCGTATTTAACCAAGTTAATACACCCAGCAGAGCTCAAGCGATTGGCCCTCAAAATACCAGACAGCTCCAAAGGCACTGCTCTTTCCAGATTGCAGCTAGATTATGTGAGAAGCTTACTAAGAGACAAAGTTCATAACGACCTCATGCAAGAATGATTCAGGATACGTTTGCTTTAGCATAATGTATTCGTTGGCGTAACAAATAATAAGACAGTGAAACCAAATAACCACAGCGATGTTCTAAGTCTCAGTGTATTGCATGAATTTGTTTCTTGCATGGAGACAAAAACACAGTGGCCTGAACTTGGGGCACCTTGGAGCATGCATGGTTCAACTAGGCAGAGCAGTTGTTGGGTAAATGCCTTTTGGGAGGGAGCTGCGGAAATAAGAGTTGCTCTTGGTATGAGAGAGTTGTTCACGTGCTCCTGTACTGTCTGTAGGGCAGCAAGGGACAAGACATAAAATGGACTTGAGCTGACACATATGCTGCCACTGTACTGAGTCAGGGGATTCTTAAGTTGCTTTTCGTGAATTTAGTCATTTTTAGTAATTAATAATTTAGTCGTTTAGTAATTTTTAAATGGTAGAACTTTTTGTTACATCAGAATAAAATCTCCTTTATTAAGTTACAAGTTAAATTAAGTCTGTTAGAAAGGAATGGAAGCCTAGGATGATTTTCATCTCTGGCATCCGAAATCTTCACCAGCTTCAGGTGAAACCATTTTTCCTTGATCTCTCAATCCACTGCATTCTTAGCACACTTCTCGCATACCACAGTGGCTAATTGCATTGTACTAATGCTGTGTCTCTACGTGATTGTTTTGGACTGAGCTGCTCAGGTGTCAACAGCTAGCATTGTAGTATTTGTAACGTCTCCCATTTGGCCCTGTGCCATGTAAGAAGGCTTTGTTCTGCATTTGACTGCAAGGCAGGAGCTTTTTTCAGTGTTGCATGAGAGTATTGAAAAAGCTTACGCGTTCTCAGTAATACTTGGAGAAACTCTCATATCTTATTGTATTGACCTCTATTTTATTCCAGCATAAAACACAGTCAGGGTGTGAAACCTACAAAACCATTGTCTGTAATGATGTAAAAGCAAATGTATACAGCTGAGTGTCCCTGTCCCAAATTTGTCAATTATTGTACAACAGCATAACAATATATAACTGATAGATATTTGCAGCGATTCTGGAGGAGGAAAATATTAAATGCATTTAAGAAAATATCAGCACTGTATTTCTCTTTAGTTACAATAAAGTGAATGGTAAAACACGCCATTTCCTGAATTTCAGCTTTGCAGATGACATGAGAGCTGCCCAGTGACAGTCCAGAAGATGAGGTAGCAAGTGATTGTATCGCTGGTAGGATCAGAAACAGTGCTCAGGGAGCTGGATGAAATGTTTTTTATACAAATAAAGGATAATATAAGTGTACGAATCAGGGAATAGATTTGAAATAATCCTGAATTTGCACTTGGATACTTAACATTTTACTTTGGTACTTATTTTAATATTTAAGTTTAGTTCTTGCTGCATACATAAACACAACTCTGCTGATAGCAAGAGGTAACCAACATACTTGGAAATACAGGCTAGTTAATCAACCAGGGTTTTTTAACATACAGTTCTGGTTCATCCTTTAGGAAGGAATTCTTTCAATTAGGAAAGTAGATAATTTAAACTATTATATTTTTTGTTTCCTTAATGAAAAATAAGGAACTTTACTTTTGAATAGGGAGATATGAGCTTCTACAAGGCTTTTGCAGTTCATACGCAGAACCAAAGTAAATAAGCTAAAATTATTTGCTCAAAGGTGCATCTTCTGCCTAGCTGCTGAAGTGCAGACATACAGTTCTATTTCTACAACTTTACTGAAGTATTTACACAGAAGTTTTCTTAGCTTTCGTTAGCTGTTATCTCAAAGGGTGTATCCCATATTTAGATCAAGATTATTCTTCTAGGACAGTTTTCAAATTTCTTTTAAGTCCCCATAACTAATATTGTGTAAGAGATACTGATGAGCTCTCAGTATTTTGAATCATTGCGACCAAACCTCAGTTTTCTCTCTCGAGACTTCTTAATGAAATCTTAGTTTTGCTTTTAGAAAATGAATATGTTTTTGAAGCAGATAAAGAGTTTCTCTGCCATCCAGTTTACACAGATGGGTGGTAAAGATGGGTCCGAAAACTTGGCTGCATTTCATTCATCTACTAGGTGTAGAAGCACAATGCATTAATACTGTGCTTCGTATCCACCTATTGCTTTGTCAGCAGCACAACTAAGGTGGAAAACAAAGTTTGTAATAAAACATTAACCCTAATCCAGGCCTAAGTCAAACTTACAATTCTGTCCTCTTAGGACCATTAAATCCACCTGTGTGCAATGCTTTTTTAAGATAGAAATGTTTGCATTTGAAACTTTTAAAAATTCCACAATTAAATGTGTCCCTTCTGTTTGCTCCCTTGTGTTCCTAGATGTCTGCCATTAGTAGATAGAATGCTTGATGATTAGCAGAAGGTTCAAAATGTCCTGTTGCAGTTGTCTTCAGCCTCTGTCTGTAGGGTGTTGTAATCTGTTGAATACTTTTTAAAGATTTACAGAAGCTAGCAAAGAAAAGGGGCTTATCAAATATGCTTAAATTCACTATGCAAGGAACAGACCTGTTGTCAGAAATGGTTTAGGAGATCAACCTTTTAAAAAAAAAGTTGGAAAAAAAGGAATGTGGATGCTGCTCAAGATGCGTAGTTTGTGTACATTAGTATATACGGTGTTATATTTACCATTCTGCATTCTCTTCTATTTGTACAATCCATTTTACTACAATTATATGGTTTTTGTGTTGTTGTTTTTGTTTTCCACAATCAGTAGAATCTAGTCTTTCAGAACAGTTATTTAATCAAGTTTTGTTACAGATATTGTAACTGTCCACTACATTAAGTGAACTGCATTAGCCAACGTACTCTTTGGGTAACAATCTGTAGATAGCTGACATTCTTTCATTCTCTACTTGTAGAAACTTCCGGCCCCTTTGCTTGATGATACCCACAGAAATGAATTGAGAGAAGAAGCAACACCTGCTAAGTCTGAAGATTTTCAAGATTCTATGAAAATAGCCTGGCGCTATGAGAATTTACCAAAAATGGAGGTAAATCTTAAGTGTTTCGTATTTTTGCCTTTCACAGTGAAAATCAATTTGCAGAGGAAGTGCTTTTCAGCACAGGATAGTACTACTGGATTGCCTCCTGAGGGTAAATCATCATTCAGGAATATGTTTCTTGGTTACTATAAATACAGAGAGAAAAGTAATTTGAGAGTTTGCAGGAAATGTAAAATTTAATACAGACAGTAAAAACTGAAAAGTAAAAGAGACTTTTTGCTATGGGGTTTTTCAACGAGTATTGTTAAGAGGAGACCACTTCTACAAAAAGTTGGAATAATCCGGTCAGTTACAAACTTTCTCCAGCTGTAGCTGTACGGAAATAACTTATGTAGTTTTGATCAACAGTACTTACTAGATCTCTCTAATGAAAGTACTGTGTTGAAGCAAGCTGTTGACTTGGTTATCCATGTGCATAACCACTAAAGTAAGCGCTTGAGATTACTGTCACTAGAAACTAGTCACTGGGCAAGGAGAGTATAAGAAACAAGCCCATCATTCAAAGTTTATAGCTGTTAGTGTTCTGTGAATAACGTGTTTCCCAGGGCTGGTGATTTTCATATTTAACCTAGTGGAACAATTAACCTTTAATAAAATTACAGCGTTTTTGGCTATCCAGAACAGAAAACTTGCTTTGTCTATACATTTTAGTCTACATGTTTTATAAATTCTAGTTTAGATGTAGTCATAACTGCCTAGTAAGTTCAGTCATATTCTTAAAAAACATAATTGGAATGTGACAAAATGATCTTATAAGGCTTGGCATGTTTGGTTTTCTGTGAAATTGCACAGACATGGCTATATAGTTGTGTCAGAAAAGACTTATATATGGTGACATGCCAAATCAAACAGCCTCCAGGGTAATCATATAATCTCATCAATTTTGTTATTGTGGAGCTTGCTGTGCCACTTTGAACCATCCCCAAAATAAATTGTCTGTTTTAAAATCTAACAGAATTCCTAGTACGCCAATATGGAACCTATTGTATGTTCTTACCAAATAGTGTTCTGATGTTCTAACAAAATATAAAACCAAATAATCTGCTTAGGTGTGCACTCATTCTCTATTATTCCATCCAGTAATAGAATATTTTCTCCGGAATAGATAATGTATTCATCATGGATTGTTAAAATTTGATCATGGGAAGTAGAATAAAATGATCAATCTTTAGTGAGGTATTTCCCTTTTTATCGTTGCAGCTTTCAGAAAGGGATCCTGATCATTCTGAATAGTTGATGTACAATATTGATTTGTATACATTCCATTAAAAAAAAAAATTAAAAATAGTCTAGCTCTTAAGCTATCTATATCAGAAGTCCTTCAGAATATTGTAGTTAATGAAAACTTATTTTGAAATTGATACTTCTCCATGTTTCATAATGCAGTTATCAGAAATTTTGGTGCTGTGCCAAATTAATTTGACTGGTCAATATACTCCATGGAGGAGAACATTTCATATTGCCTTGCAGCACCATGGATGGTGTAAAGCACTTCTTAGTATCATTTAATTAACAGCTTAAGTTGTGTTTTATTCTTTAATCTTTGTTTTGGCATTAAAAAAAATAACATTGAATAAAATTTCAAGGTATATTTCCAAATTGATTGAACTAATTAATCCATTTTTGAAGTTTCAAGCCTGAAAGCGAGAAACCAGCTTTGTTTTTAGCTAGAACTCTAAACATGTTAGCAGATAAGTTTTCTGTTCAATATCTGGCTTTACGTGAAGTAAGAACCCTTAGGAAAAGTTGTCTGGAGTTTTTGTTGCCTAATTCAGTTCTTATTTGTAAGTAATTAAGAGGCTATTGTTAATATTTCATGTATTAACTTCCCTTTTACTGGACCTCATGTAGACTAGCTAGGTAACTGAGTTTTGTTAGGGTGCCTGATATTTGTTAGTACTCTCCGTAACTCTCACAGCTTCTCTTTGCATATGTGCACATACCTTGTACAACAGCAAAACACAGATGGTTTATCAGAAATCTGTCAGAGTAACAGGTCTCTTTATGCTTGATGTGCCTTTCCCAGTTTGTTACTTTCATCTGTATCAGAGGTTAATTTCGTTTAAACTTTTGAGTATATGGATAGCCTATTTTGCAATGCAAGACAGTGTGTTTTTTTTTTTTTTGAATGAACTGCTTATGTTCTTGGGGCAATATATAAACTGTCACAGCATGAAATCAATTTTCTGCCTTGATTCATCCTAAATCTGAGATTTCTAGCACATTAGTATTGCAATTAGAAACATTAACAGCAGACGGTAGTGTAAAAGCATGTTCTGCTCACTGACAATTTAGTGCATTTCTCCATGTGCAAAGCAGGAATCCCAGAAAGAACAGGCTTGAGCCTACAATCCACTAATAAATTTATCAGATCAAATTTAAGAGGAATGGAAAGTCTCTGGTTCGCACTCTCCATGGTCATTCTGCTAAGGCAGATTATTCATGCTTACTTGATTCAGGTAGGCTTTTTGCAAGCTTCCCCGCTAAGCCTGGGAATGCAGTACATTGAGGCCTATTCATAGGCTTCTGACATAGCCTGGGCTTTTATTGCATGGTGTTTTATTATAGCCAAATCCTAGTCTCCACCCAGTTTGTAGGCACTGTGCTTATTCTTTTGAATCAAGAGAGGTTATCACCTACCTTAATCCATGCAGCAGGGTGGATTAAGGACACCAATGTGCCTCAGGATTCTCAAAGAGGATCCTGGAAACTTCTTGTTTCTTCTTTTTTGCTGTCTTTACTGAACTCTATTGGGCCTCAGTAAGGATTTGCATCTGAAATGGGCAACCTGGAGCTTTTCTCAATGAAGACATCAGATCAAAGTTCAGTTAGTCAAGGCCTTTCTAAAACATTAAGGGGGCTTGGAAGTACACAATAAAAAGATGAGCTCTGGCAGAGATTGCAGTAAAAACATTCTGATCTGTAATCCGGATAAAGAATAGATTATAGGCCAAAGAACAGCCCCTGTTTAAATTGTTTTTGGAATCCTCATTTTAAATAAAGTTACTTTTACATATAAAATATTTAGAATTCAGTCTGATGGATTGATACGTTTCGTTATACTTCCTTCTTTAAATTCATTCGCTGATAAATAAATTGGAGCACTGACTTAGAGAATCCATTTTTTCTGTCACTTATTGTGTAAAAACGATCTGCCTCATCTGACTAGATACATATAAGCAATTGTATTTCTTTTTTAATTAAAAACTTGTTTTTTGTTTTAAAATAATGAAAGTGTGGTTTTAGTTTCGTTATTTTATTGTTTTTGTCAAGAAGATGCTGCAATATTGTTATTAGTTATGTTCTCTGCAAATTGCCCAGGCCAAACATCAATTAACCAAATAATTTCAAAATATTTACTTTAAATCAAGTTATTGTAATTAATCTTAACAGTTTAATATATATATTTGGTAAAATGAAACATGAAATAAAATTGTGGAAATAAATAGCATGATTGCTTTTAGAAAACTAGCTATAGATACATGGCCATCTCTGGCTGTTACTGGTGCTTATTTTATTAATAAGACTAAGTTTTATGAAAAACACAAGTGCTGCATAATAACTGGAGTTCAAACTAACTAATTTGCTGCCCAACACACAAAAAATATTGCAACCCCATTATTGTAATAATTCAGTATATCTTTTGTCATTCCTGTTTACAGCAAGAATAGCAAATGTTAAATTTGAGCAGAAATTGTTCTTAAGAATTTTCCTTGCATACAGACACAACCCTACTCAATTTTCAGATAGCTGACAAAATGTATGTATTGGCCTTTTTAAAATAAATAAATAAAATAATAACAGGAGTGTTCTAAGTTGTTGTTACATAACCCACTGAAAAACTTTCAGAATTGTTGGGGTAATTCTGGTCACTTTTCAAGAGTAATTCCATACTTCTGAGTACCAATAAAACAGCATTTCATTCTACCTTAGAATCAGAGCTTCTTTTTTTTTTTATTTTTTTTGGTTATATATTTCCATTCATTGTAGAGTGAAGTGATTTCTGAAGTGACGAAGCTCTTGCTCAGCAGTGGTACCGTGGTGGGCATATTTGCTTTCCAGCAAAAATTGCTTACCAGCATTCTTTGGTTCCTGCGTTGTTATTCTCAGTTACCAGTAAGGTTAGAATTGTCTTATAGTAGGTGTTTCCCTTATTTCAAGAAAACAGTAATCAATAAATGCAAAAGTAGGTAATGTCTCTGTAGAACACTGTCTATTGTATCATTTTTTTCTCATGATAGGTAATCATCTAATAGATTATTGTAATCAGTGTCGATGTTTCCACAGGCCAGCCCAACAACATCTACCAAGTTTGGACATTACTATGATATTTCTAAAACAATGTCTCCAGAACTGCTTCAGTCTATAAAATGGCACAGTTTTTACCTTCCTGAAGAATTATCTTTAGAGCCTAAACTGAAAACGTGGTAAGTTGCAATCCCACATGCTTCTGTTTTGCGTTTAAATTTTGTGTGCCTGTTAGTTGTAAAAGATATTTTAGCATCAACACGTGCTGTGAAAATTTTTGTAGCCATGTATTGCTCACACGTAGTTCAGCTGTGGTTCCCATGTCAGCACAACATGCCAGGACTGTCAGCAAAGCTGCTGTGGTGCAGAGGCAGCTCTGTATGCTGACTCCTCAGTGGAAGAAGCAAGTTGGTAGGGGCAATTAAGGCAGACATTACTAGGACAGCCTGGGACACAGCTGAATACTCAGTCCAGTCCTACTGACAGTTGAGTGTGGGGACTGGGGAAAACTATTACTGTCTGTCTATGAACTACTCCCTGAGCACCATGCCCCATCAGTTTTCATGAATGTGTGTCAGGTGGCTGTCAGTCATATGAATATAACCGTTCACAGTTTTTAGGGCTAAGATGACAGGCCATCCTTGACCTACATAGCTTAGAACACTATATCACATTAGTTTATTATGTGACTTTTACTTCTTATATCCTACAACTTCACCTAAGGAAAATACAAAAAAACTGTGAGCAGAATTACATTCACTAATTATGTCTTACACAAAACCCTTAATTCCAGCAAAAATCATAAACTCATATCTGAATGAATAACTTCTTTTAGTTTTTGTCTATCAGTAATTAATTAAGGAAGACCAGAAGAAAATTAGTGACAACAGAGAATACTCCTATTAGCCTATGGCACAAAAATCCATTGTATTTTTCTTGGAGATATTTCAAGTCAAGTCAAATGTCAGATAATGGGCTACCAACCTCTTTGTTTAGCCCAGTCACTTAATTTAGATATCTAGGGCCTATAAATCCCAGTGTATAAGGCCAACTCCGAGAACCAGGTAGTACAGTATGCTTTATTGCATGAGATTTTTCATTACAGTACACTAATATAAAAGCCGAGATTTGTGAAATAAGTGCAATATTTATAGAAGTGCACCTTTAGAGTTGTAGAAAAACAAAAGCCAATGTAATTTAGCTTGTAATTTTTCTGTGTTATATGATCAAATATCACTGGTTTTAATTCAATACAGTGTGTTCTTGCTATGTTATATATATTTATATATATATAAGCACTTGATAAACTTTCTGGAAAAGGAATAAAATTTGGATTCTGCTTTTCATCATAAATATTTGAACCAACTTTATATGTGACTTACAGTATTATTTTTTTTCAGTTGCAGGGTCATAGAGTATAGATATAGGAGTATTTGATAGCTTAAAAAGTCCTTATATTGTTACTGAACAATTTAACTACCTTTCTATCTCTTCTCTAGCTAACCGGAATGTCTGATGACTATGGGCTTAATCCCACTAACAATATGGCTGTGAAGTATTTGTATATTTTATGTTGAAAACAAGCTAATTCATGTGTTTAGTATAGAATATGGACTTTACCTTTTATGCATTTGATTTTATAAGACTTACCTAACTCTGATACTTCCTTTGTGTGTGCCATCCTGGTAGAAGTTCATAGTTCTTACCATGTGAATTCTATTCGTAGTTTTCATATAACTGAAAGATTAGGTTTAGTTAATTTGCTTGGCAATCTATGACCGTAGGATTGCGTTCTACCATATTTCTGAATGCTTTACAATTGTTTTAATGTGTATTTTATTCAAAGCATTCAGTTTCATACAAGGTGGCTAATTTATTTAATAACTTGATTTACTTTGTTAATATTTCATTATTGGTGCTGGTCATATTGTTGAGGCATCAGTTTCAGGTTGTCATCCCTGACTACAAACAGCACTGGTTTTAGATTCCATGTATTGAAAAAGTTGCACTAGGTCAAAGTTAAAATTAGGTGAGAAGAAATGTTCAGAATTGCAACCTCATGAATTCATCATATTTCTCCGTAGCAAAATGGAAGATTTATGTTTCCTGTAAGTCCAGTCAGACAATTTTCACACACATTTATAAATAAACTGAACTAGAATTTCAACTTTCATTCATAAGTTTTGTATAACTGGAGTTCATCAGAAGTTATTCAAGAGGAGTAAAGCTTCTCCCATTCTCTCTTACATGTACATCCTTGGTGTGCACCTAGCATAGTCCATGTCCGTAAATTGGACTACTTTATTTACATAAGGAAAGGACAGGTTAAAAAATAAATACATATTTCAAATTGGGACTTCATGAAGTTCATCTGTGATAACAGAACATAACTAGTTGTCAAAGAAATTCCGTGAAGTCAAAAAGGACAAACAGTGCCTGTCTTTAAGGAGAGGAGATGGCAAAGACATCCGTGTGATAACATCAGTGCTCCAAAAAATACCAGAAAAAGTAATATAATTTAGCTTTAAGGTTTTAAGACAGTTTCACCCAGTGTGTTTTTGCTTCTGTGTATTCAACTGAGATAAACCCAAAAGTCTTTAAAATAAAACAAGAGGTATTGTGCATCAGGAAAGTCTTCTGTTGTGTTGAAGAAGGAGTTGTTATATTTGTTGTTAAATCCTTACCTTGTAAATAATCTGTTACTGAGACTCGTAGGTAAATCTGAGTGAAATATCAGGCTTTATTCCATTATTGTGTCTTGAAATAACCTGGTAATAATTTGGCCTGGTAAGTATCCTGAGCAATGAGTACCTTTACTGAAGTCATAATGTCAAATTTGGAAAGAAGTGGAAGGAATAATTGCATGCGTATTTGATGACAGAATTAAAATAAAAGAAGTTTTAGGTCAGCAATCAGAAATTCTAGTGAAGACAAGCCAAATATCGTATTAGTAGGAATAATTAATTGAACAAATAAAATATGGTAGCAGCTCTCCAGAAAAAAAAATATCTGGGGTTACAAAGTGTCTTGAATTTAAGATATATTAGCAGTGTTTTGTGATTAATGTCACTGAAAACATGGAGGTGATAAACTGGAATTTCATGTAGAAGACACAGAAAAGACTTCTGTTTTGCTCAGCCATAATAAGGCCGTCCAGTTTTTGATAGCATCCTTCAAGAAAACTCAGCATCAGTTAGAAGAGGATGGGAAGCTGAGTTTAGATCTAGTATGGGGATATATGGCCTGTGATGGAAGAATGGAAATTCTTTAGACAAATCTGAGAAGAGTCTCAAAGCAAGTTAAAAACTGACATACAGAGAGCAGTAATTCTGTTGTCTGCGGAAGACAGAAGCAATAATGGGCTACAGTAAATTGTAGCAGTGGAAATGTAGAGTGGACATAAGGAAATATTTTTCTGATGATTAGCACTAGAAGAAGTTGCCTTGCAGACACAGGTTGGGAGTATTGTAGAATCTCCATCATTGAAAATTTCTAAGGACAAGTTAGGTAAATATCTGTCAGAGGTAGTTTAGACATAGTTCATCGTGCCTTGGGGCAAAAAGATAGACTACCTGACCTCTTGAGGTCCCCTTCATCCCTATCTTCTGTGATTCCTTAATACACATTAGTCATAGTGCATTAAATCCAAAACTAAGTATGAATGTTACCAATTATTTCACTGCTTTCAAAACATTTACGCTTTTACAGAAACCCAACTGGATTGTACTGTATTTTTTTTACAAATATTGTGGTGAAATTCAGAAGAAAGCATCCTTTTTGCAAGGAGTGAAAACAAGCTCTCAATCCTGTCAGGATCATTTCACTAAAGAAAGTTTATAAAAGTGGGAGGCAGAGGATAATATTTTGTTGGCATGACTATTTGGAAAATATATGCAATGCTTCTGGCTTTTAAGTCTAGATTCAGTATATCACAGAACAGTATTTAAAATATATATATATATCTGTTCTCTTGATTAACCAGATGATGATTTAAAAGAAGGGTTTAAATACTATAGTTAACCCTTCTAATAGAAGCTAGCAATTTATGTTAGACCTAATCTTTGATTGCCTGAAGGTCCATCCCTATGAGAGCTTGATCTAACCTCTTGCGTTACACTGAACTGGGAACACGGATCTGGCTAGTCAGCGTGTCTGCACTCATGGGGAGCAGTGTCTTATACACGAGGTTCTCTGCCTGTGGTCTTATCCTCTCAGTGCTGGTTTGTTTGTTTGCTTTGTGTTTTTTTAAATCTGAGAATGTATTGCTTTTGAAACTAATACAGAGCTAGAAGGAGTTAGAGAAGTAAGTGGAAACTGGTACTTCTAACTGGAATATAATTTTCCTTAAGTAGATGGTGGTGTTGATGGATGGCACCTTTATATGGTAACAGAAATTGGAGAAAAAAAAAAAAAAGATAATTAGCAATTAAGAAAGAAAGAAAATAAATTTCCCTCTCATCAAAATGTTTCCTTGTTATTTTAGCTAACATGATCCATTTGAAATATTTGTGGTGTAGCAGAGCACAACATGGTTTAATTTCAGGCCGAAGTAAATTTCCATAGTCCTATAACTACAACTGTTGCAGAAGCACCTAAAATGACACAGGCATCGTAGGAAGTGTACCAAACACACACAGTCTGCACTGAGGTCATAGCGCTATGCAATGGCTCAGCTGGTAACTAGAAAGTTTTAGGAGTTCAGTGTATTTTTATTCTGCTTTTTTTTTTTTTTTTTTGATTATCATCTGTACTGATGTGGGTGAGACTTTTCATAAGTGTTGTCTTTTTATTTCTCTCTCATAGAGACCTGCTACCTTTATCTGTAGTTAATGCTCCTTAAGGACTATACTTAACCTATGACTTGTGAGATGCACCTAGAATTCACCTTGTCCATCCCTTCTTTCTCCTATATCTTTCAATTACAGTGTGACTAGCTTTGTAGGCCTTAGGTTTCATTTTTCCTTCTTGAAATTTGGAAAAGCCCTTTCCCTCCATCCTTCTGTTGTTTGGGAAGGGGTGGGGAACAAGAAGAACGATCCTTTCGCTCTCCTTTCCTTTCACTGCTCAGGGATGTGATGACAAAGAACAGATTATGCAGTTAAAGCAGAACATACTGGAAGCGTTGTACCCCAGTTTCCTTATACTCTCCTGACAGAAATGGGGAGTATTATAAACATACATGTATGTTTTACTACGCTTTAAAAACCAGTTCTGAAACAAGGTCCTTTGTAGTAATGTTTTGTGGAATAAGAGCCATGTATTTGTAAAGTGGACCGAATCATCTCGGTGCTGCTAGTTCTCTAGCATCACATTAAGAAAACTATTTAGACTGTTATTGAGCGAGTGCTCTCTGTGTAATTGGAGCCGTTGCATGATAATTATAGTGTTCCCCTTCCAAGGTCAGAGATGTAGAGGCTTTCTTTGGACCAAAACTCTTGGTCCTTTTTAGAAATCACATATCTGTGCTTATGTCCCTATCTTTCTATCCATGCAAGAATTCAGTTCCATTATGGACTTGCAAAGAACAGAGACTGATTGGTTAGGCAGAATTTACTGAAAGTCCTTTTACTCTACAATTAAAGAAAATGAGTTTTGGAGGTTTTATACATCACTTGTTTGCCTTAAAGTTTGGGGCATTTTTTTTTCTTGTTTTCTTATTGCCCTGTGCTAAACATTGACTGAAACCAGACTGAAAAGTCTTTTATAAAGGAAGCAGTAAATGAGACTGGGTGTTTGACGCCAGAAGAAGGCATCACCCTTTCTTAGCTCCATAATTTTTGTATTAGGGAAGGGCAGTTACATACTGGCCCTAATGGTGGGACCAGCGTAACTGGGCTGTGCAGCTGTGACAGCAGCTGCTTTCCAGTTGTTGCTAGGCTATTCAGGTGTCCTTTTGGTTGCACTGATGAAGCTGGTACTTAACAGGAAGCTGGAAATACCCTCTCTGATAACTCCGGGCATCACAAAGGAGGCTTACTTTCCACCCTTCTACTTTACTTCTGTCCTCGTTAAGTTGCAATCGCCAAAAAATAAAGTTTGATAATCCAAGGGAGTTAAAATAATTAAGCTGTAGTTTTTTCAACATTACTCATATTCTATACCTTTAGAATGTGCTTTTGGAAAAAGAAAAAAAAAAAAAAAAGAATAAATTTATCTAGAGTCTAGATTTACAGATAAATTTAGATAAAACAGGTTTAACTGTCTTGCCTAATGGAGTCTCCATATACATAATAAGGCTATTTGTCATACCCTTGATAACCTAACCTTTGTTAAATGCTTAGAAACTGTCAACAGAGAAGTCAGAGGCTCTGTTGTAACCAGGATACCTTCTTGCCAGCTCCTGCTTTATCCATTACTAAATTGCTAAACAAAAAAAAGAGTAAAGAAGAAATTGTTTAAACTCATTATCAGAATTAAATGGTGTTTAGTAACAAAGCCAAAAAAGACTAGAAATTACAGAATCAAAAAATACCTTGTTTCCTTCCTTATGTATTATGGCAAACATTGCCAGAAGGATAATGCAACTTGCTTTTATAAGTAGTGTTTCTGCAATATTTTTCATGTCCTTATTTACATAGCATAGTTCAAATTCAAGGAAAGCATTAATATTTTAGTCAGAAGAAGAAGAGCCACCATGTTTGCATTCAAAATAAACCTATAGACATTACGCTATTTTCTCTAAATCTTTCTTTGCTGCAAATCTTCTCCTGATAGATAAATCAAATATTATTTTTATTTCTTTGTAGGCTTTTTAGTTTGTTTGCTTGCTTATTTGTTTTAATTTTAGGACTCTGTAATTCTGTTAATGTTTGAAATATTTTGTTCTTCTATCTATTTTTATAAGCAATTTGGTAGCAAACCGGGAATTGGCAAGTATTGTGACTGTGTTTTTTGGTTTATCCTATAGATAGTATGGTGAGCGTGGTAATACCATCCACAGAAATGTAATTGTTACCTTCTTGAAAACAGACAGTGTGTTCCTTACTAGTTACAGCTCTGAATTACTGAAATAATTCTTTATATTTGTATACAAATTTGAAAATACTGCTTCGTGACCACAGTTATGAAGAGGAGCACTGTCATTTTTTTGTAGTAGATGTGCTGTGTTCCTGGCTGTGGCTACAAATTGTTGCAAACTCCTTCCTCCTGTTGGTGAGCTGTAGTTTCTATCTTTACAAAAAGGATAGAAGAATTTCCAAAAGGATACAGGAATGCTTCTCATTATTCTTAAGTGCTGCAGATTCTCTCCAGTTCTGGCAAAACTGGGAAGAAATTACAGCACTGTGTAAACAACAGGGGTTATGTGTATTGCGGTTATGTGAAGACGTGGAGAAAGAAAATATTTTGGCTAGTGTGGGGGCTAAAGCCCTTTTCCTGGCCACATACTCTGTAAACTGACACTTTTAAGACAAAATTTGACATATATTCCTTTTGTAGCTAAGTGATAGGAAAGTATGTAAAGGAGAGATGTGAATTTCATAGATAGTATTAAAATATTAGGATACTATAGCTGAAAACAAACAAAGTAATGGGAATATTTCATTAATGTTACCAGACCAAGCATACGATATGATTGCTGCAAGTAAGAATGTGTTGATGCAAAATTTTCAAAATAACCCGTTGTATTTTCCAAGAAATACCTAAGACCTGAATCCACAGCTCTTGATGGTAATTAGTGAGACTGTAAGGAAGTGCTGAAACTAGAAAAAATGAAAGGGCTTAAATTCAACTTTAGTGAGGAACCTACATCAAGTCCAGACACAAAAGCCAGTATACTGTATGGGATTGAAGGCCTAGTATGTATAATTCAAAGTGATCAGCTGGCTTGATTTTTTTTTTTTTTTTTTTTTTAAAGCAAAGATAGGACTTTCTGTCCTTTGTGTATATTAGCACTGGAGAGTATGGCTAGGATGGGTATGAGGAAAAAGTACATTGGAAGTGCAGGAAGTTCTAAGACCTTGAAGGGAGTGTTTGTTGAACTTTCATTTGGTTTTAAATGCCTAAATCCTTTTGTAGGCAGCAGTTTGCTTTGCTTTTTTTTTTTTTTTTAATATTATCAGATATTTTCCAAATAACACATAAACATAAAATATACCTCACAGTTCTGCTGCCTTGCAAATAAAGGCGTACTAACGCCCATGGTGAATGGATACAAAATGGTAATGTAATAGAGTGTATTTTATGTTCTGTTGTGGCATTAGAAAAAATCCTTAAAAAAGTAAATAAATAAAACAAATAATGATAAATGAACTTTTTAAGCTAAGTGGAAATAGTATCTCTTTCATTTTTTGTTGGTTTTGATTGTTTAATAGTTGTTTGTATAAAAGCTTTAAGTAATAGGAAGTCAACCCTGTTTACCAGGGCACTGTGTAGGTGTACTCAGAGTAGCAATTAGGTAGCTATTTGTCTGTTATAGAAGATTAACACTATGCTATAATGATTTCAACTTTAAGTTGCTACATAAAATCATTAAACTTGTAAGTGAGCCTTACGTAATTAAGTTATCTTAATCTCTTAAGACTCCTACTTTTTGCAAGATGTCTGGATGCTGAACTGGTCAACAAGAACCGATCACGATTGCTTTTAATGGCTGCTTTATTCAAAAAGGATTGTTTTTTCCCTTCTATGACAGTTTTTTTCTACATGACACTTCCAGAATGCAAGCTGCGTCTGTTTAGATTTAGTACAGCTTTTAGTGAGTATTAAAATGTGTTATTAAACTACTACTTCTTACCAACAGGAATATGAACTGTGGCTATGCAAGTCTGCTTCACTCCATTCAAAGGGTCATTTGCCAGGAAGGATTTGATGGCTCTCATCCCCAGGTACTGAACACCTTCCTACTCTTGTCTTCCTGTAATGAAGGTTTTCTGAGTATTCAAGAGTGGCATGAGAATGTCTTTAAAAATTAAAAAGGGTCAAGCTGTTTCTAAACATTGCTAAAGCAAACAAGAAAGATAAATAGTGTGTGGTTCATACTTTAATGTGCATTTGGACTTTTTACTATTTTTTAACAGCTATGCAGAGCTTTTGAAAAAGAACTGTAAGCCAACATTATTGAAATGCCCACTCTGTGCAATTAGATAATAAATGGATTGCCAAATATAATGAAATTAAGTTAAATATTTTTCACCTACACATTTTTTTCAAATCATTGAATTAGCAATAATGTGCTCAAGACTCTTGAGACCGAACATTCAAACTTTCAGATACTTCCAGTGTTGTGGTAACTGGAGTGAATTTTATAATGAATTAAATGGTGTGCATCTTTATGTAGTGAGTACTGAAATACAGGTAAAGACATGAGAATGCTACTTAGGTATCAAAAACTTACCTGTCCAAACAGCTTACTTGCCTTGTAAAGATTGCTTTACTTGCCATAAACCTTACTGTGGGTAAGCAAAAATATTCCAAGTGTAATAAGATAGGATAAAAGACTTTTCCAGTTTGAGCAATGCCTTATCTTTGTTGTTCCTTGTCATGCTGAAAAATATGTGATTCCTTGAAGTTGATGTAGATAAAATAATAAATGATATGTATTGATGCTTCATTGGTAGGTAATTATTGTTGTACAGCAGAAATGTTACTGGAGTACGAGGTAATTAGTATAGATGCTGGAGAATGTCAAAGAATGTCATACAAGACTGTGTGCTATTCCTAGCCGAATATCTGAAAAACGGTTTCTGTGGGAAGATAATATTGGAGTGGATGCATTCCTGCATGTATATATCCATCATAACAGTGTATTTTAGAAACATGACCTGCCCAGAATACTTGGGTTTAAAATTAGATTCTTTGGCTTATTTGCGCTCAGTTTGTAGTCTCTGCTGAGATTTATGGGCGAGCTTGCCTTCCCTTTGGTGACAGTGCCAGTCTGGAGCAGCAAATTGGTCCCTGACAGGCACCTCTCCCCACTTGCTGCAGTAGCCATGGCAACAGGCATGTCCCCGTGCTTCCCGCCGTACCCTGCGCAGAGCTGCTCCTCCCGCACCGTGACAGGTCCTCTGCAAGCCGGAGAGCTTGCACACTGCAAAAAGCTGCACCGAGTCAAACAAATACCCTGGGAGCCTTCAGCCACCAAATCACCTCCTCCTGAAGAGATCAGGCTGGTGATTCTTGTTTTTCTTGCAAGTCAGGTCTAATGGGAAAACAGCATCTTTGTATGTTCCTGATTTTTTTTGTATGTTTTAAACAAAATAAAGATAACTTAGCCAATATTTTGGGGTTTTCTTTCTGCAGACAAAAAAAAATATATTAGATATTGTGGACAGTGATTTTGTATGCTACTTGTTCTTTGTTTCAAAACATCTGATTAGAGTCAATAAAGCAAAACCAGACCTTTAAATCAGATAAATTTAAAAGTATGTCTTCACAAATGAAGTATATAAGTTTCTGAGTTGAAGCTTTAAAACTATGAAAAAGAATCCTTTCTCAAACCAGTTTACCCACATAGACGGTCATCAGCGCTTGCATAGCTGTTTCTGTGTCAAGGAAGATAATGCATATGATCATATGATACATGGTACTTTAATTCCTCCTTTTCTGGAATCAGAAAACATTTCTTTATATACACATTTTTTTTGCATTTAGAAGTGGTATATAATACACTCCTCTTGAAGTATGTCCAGAGTTGAATGTAGTTATGGTCCAGAACATGCCATGGAACTTTTTATCTCCCAAATCCATGGGAAATTCACCGCTCTTACTAGATCTCCTCTTCTATTAACTGAGTCTCAAGAAGTACTTTTAAGTAGCCAAATATTAGGATAATACAGTAAAAACCATCCTGAACACTTCAGGACCTGTTTCCTTTCCTATATTTAATAAAAAGGCAAGCTTCTGAGAAGTTTGTGTGTATATGTTCTTCTACTCAAAATAATCCTCTCCCTTTCGGATAGGTCGTATGGCAATGGCGTTTGTGAGGTTTGGAGAAAACTACAAGGGCCAAAATGTATTAGGAAGGTGCTAAAAGAGATTTACTACTGACTTTAAGTAGATGTATTAATCACAGCATGTGCGTGACAGAAGAGGATACCTCTTATGCTGCATTTTTCATACTACGAAGCATAAACTTACCAATTTTTTGGCACCCGGAGACCTAGAAATGTATTGCTTTCTGGATCTGGGTTCAAAGGAGAAGTTTAGTCCTAATTAGTAAAACTTCCAGATATTTTTGGCTAATTTCACATCCATATGGCAGTAATTGGAGTTACCTCTCCTTTTTATTGGCTCCTCTACTACTAATACAGGTAGTTTCTACTACCTGTATTTGAAGAGGTATCTGGAGAACAGTGAGTAGAATGTGACACAACCAAGCTTGACAGGTTCAGCACAATTAAGGAAATTAGTGAAAACTACCATTAGAGGTTTAGTAGACCTCTGGGAAAATGGTCAAGCATCTCTGGGACAATTAGTAGTAGGACTAGAAATATGAGCATTAGGTTTAAATATATATTTTTAAATATCCTCCATTTTGTGTTGGTTTTTTTTTTTGCTGCTAATCAGTAAGTATGAATCCTTTATAAGTTGAACATGGTTTTGCATCATACAAAATAGCTTGTTTCCAAATTATTTTGTTTTTTCACGTGTGACAGCAGAACTTTCATAGGCAACTTTTTTTCCTTAACATTTCTTTGGCTTCCTTTGGAGATCAAATTGAGTGATTTTCCAAGTAAGAAAGTTGGGGGAGGAGGTTGGATTTTTTTTGTTTAAGGTAGCTTCTTTAAATTCTTCATAATCATAATCCTTGCTGCCAAACCAGTTATCATTACAAAAACAATGTGAAAAAGGTGAATTTTTTTTTTACAAATCCAAATCAATGGAGGTGTGCAAAATATGCGTATTATAAAAATGTTATCCTGTTATACTGTACTATTGTCCCAAAGTTCATATGGTAGTGTAAAAAGTTAACTTTGCATAACTGAAGCTGAAAAGTCTGCAAAGCCAATGAGACTGGAGAAAACACCAGAGCTAAAGCGTGTATCTCTTTCACAAAGAGTGTAAGAGAATTGGCAGATCAGCTCGCTGCGTGAGCTGTGAGAGTTGGATAAGTGGAGGGCCATGTGGTACTAACTGCGTTTCACAACTGAGGCTCTGTCTACCCAATATGGACAAGGAAGCATTTCTAAGAGTAGCCTCTTCTCTTGCCAAAACCTTTGGATTTCCAGAACAGCTGTGCAATGCTTTGTGCTTTATAGTCACTGGTCATTCCAGCTGCAATTCAAGATGGGGGAGATGAATAACTACAGTTTGTCAAGGAACATCATTGTAATGAAAAATAACTGTAAGGTTTTATTTCTGTAAACTAGTAATTATATATATATTTTTTTTTAAAAAAAAAAAAAGCTGACCTTTATGTAAGTGTGAATCCTGAGCTCCAGAAATGTGTCTTTCATCACCTTGTACTGGAATTCTTTCAGCAGTATACTTATTGTGTCTCTGCTGTTGATAGCAAATGCACCTAGAATCTTTCTCAAAGATCACCAGGAAAGGTCACGTCATACAAGCAGAAAAGAGATTTGTCATCTTAAGAAATGATTTAGTTTGCATAAACAAATTACAACTCTGACTTCATAACATGCCCCTTCACAAATGGGGCTGTATCTTAACCATCACTCCGTTGGCCACTGTACTGACAATGTAATGCAGTGCAGCAAATGGTCTTTAGGTAGGTAACACAAGACTATTTAGGATTTTACATGTCAAAATAGCTTAAATTCTAGTACCCAGTAGCTAACTACAGCAGAAGTGTGCAGTAGAAGGTCAAAAATCAAGGGAAAAGTTGTGTTTGATGACTCTCAGGCCCTTCCAGCAGCCCAGCTTAATGGAGTTGGGAGAAAAGATTGCTGTATGTTTTTAGGCAGTGATGGAGGAGAGAAATGACATGAAAAAATAATAATATTCTTGCATTTTCTGACAGAATACACTTCCATCTAGCTGGTTAGTTTTAGAAAATGCATGTTAACGGTTTTCCATCCTGTTTTCTTACATTTGTATTTGCGTATCTAACACAGTGTGTTAACCATTAAGGAAGAGAGGGAAAAAAGAAAAAGCTATTCCAATTATAATTTTTACCAAGACTCTCTGAGATTAAGCTATGGTTACTTGTATTATTTAATTATTATGGCTATTAATTCTATAAATTGTTGTATTTTTAAAAAAATTACATAGTATATGATGCTTTCCTCTTAATGTTTAAAAAATAACAAGTCTCTTTTTGTTTGTTTGTCTTTTCAATAGAAAAAACAAAAGAATATTTTGCGTATAGGAATTCAGAGCATGGGTTCCTTGTTGTGGGGTGACGACATTTGTAGTAGCGACACTCCTGAAGATATTCATAGTCTGACCAAATTTCTGTATGTTCTCCGTGGCCTCCTCAGAAAGTCTTTGTCAGCCTGCATCATCACAGTGCCCTCTCACCTTATCCAGGTAAAAATGCTGTCTATGCTGTATTTCATCATTGACACTACATCAGTTAGCAAAAATTTAAAGTGTATAGTAAGAAAACAAATACAATTTAAAACAAAAAAAAAAGTAGAAAACTCTTTTTGTTCACAGGGCAAAGTTAAAAGATACATTCATTGCAGTTTTTCTATACTTTTGTGAGACAGTCATGCCGTGAAATCAACAAGGACCTAAGCTCAAAACCATCTTAAATACAGTTATTTCCTTTATTGGTCTTAGTCTTTTTTTTTTTTTTCTTTGAAAACGGTCCAAATTTCAGAAATTGTAAAAGAGCAGCGAGAATTCTGCTTGTAATGTTGTTTCTACTTTTTGGGGGGCAACATCCCTCCAGGCCTTTCCAGTGCCTTCAGAACAAAGTTCAATACAAGACATTTTAGTCCACTGCCTTCATCTGTCATGCTCATCATGATTATGTGTGATCTTGTTTTTAAACCCAGGAATTAAAAGATACGTTCTTTTCCCTTAATTCTAATACGGTATTCTATTGAGAACACAAACAAATCAGTTATGGGATCAGAGTAATTTTCCCAACTGCAAAATCAGAAGCTTCTCACAAAAGCTTTACTGAGAGCATATAAGCATATAAGTTTATTTTCTGGAAGTAAACTTTTTTTAGCAACAGGGAAAATATGGATGCTCCTTTCTTTCTGCAAATGATGATGTAACTGAAAAAAGGGCAAAATTATTATTCACAATGAACAGGAAAGCTATAATTTTAGGTATATATTTGGTTATAGTAAAAAAGTATTGGATAAAACCTTATATTACACAAAATATTTTAATAGCAGATGAAAGTTTTTCATCATTAGATTAACTCTTGTATTAGAAAAGTACATCATTCTCACGTAAGTATTGCATTTTGTGAAGGTGTTTGAATACCTGCCAGTGTTATTTATTTAGCTACCTGAAGCACTTACTGCTTCTAAAATAGGGGGAGAAACCTGATTTCCTTGTTTTGCAGTTGGGATTTAAAATGTACTAACATTTCTCTTGCGATGCAAAACTCCATCATATATTAGATAACAATATGTCTTCAGAAAGGTTGATTACCTGTCTGTAGTTGGGACACAGAACCTATTTCATTGTACTCTATTGAATATGTTGTCATTGACAAATAGGAACATATTTTAGAGAAGTCCGGAAGTGTCTGTGGAGCAAGTTTTTCTGAGATACAAATTGAAGGATTAAATCTTTTGTTTGTTGCAGACTTATCTATGAAGTTGTTTTTGTTTTTATGTTTATCAGTTCTGTATAAATGAATTGATTTGGAGTTCTTGTAATATTATATCTCATTTAAAAATTAATTTTAATTTTGATTTTTGACAGCATTGCTTTACAATAAGTGCTAGAATATTTTAAAGGGGGTTTGAAAAAGAAAAAAGAAATCTCGTTTCCAGAATCTTTGCTTAGCAGCATTAAGCAAATGAGAGCATTACATATATTTTTTAAATTGTTATACTTCATGCATCCTTCTTTAAGCGCTAAACTGTGGAGAAAACTGTCATTAGGAGGAGCAAAGCTGCTGAGGGTTCCTTATACCCCACATTACTCAGTTCCCAGAGCCCTGCTGTGTAGTTGTTCCACTCTCCAAGAAGCCTGTTAAAGAGCCCCTGAGAGCATGTGTACAGCCCTCCATGTTAATAGTTAATTGGTGAGGATGGCAAGATGAGAGGACAGCCGAACATGTGGTCTCTCAGGCTCAAGCCGTAGACAGACCTTTCGTTATAATAACAGCAGCTGCTCACATTCTCACAACCCAGCTACTCACCATTCTGTTGCTGAGGTTTCTTACTGGATTAAAAAAGTAAAGAATATATCTTTTCTTTTCAAGAGAATAAGAGAGGGGTTGGTTTTTTTCTTTTTTCAAGTGCATTTCTGTATATGTATTTAATTTGATCAGAGTAAGTTCTAGCATATGCTTTCTCTGTTGAATGTTAGTACACTGGAGGCATAGAAAATATGTAGTATTTTTCTGAAGATGTAGTAAATTCCCCATTTATTCCACCAACAGTTATTTCTGTATCTGCTGTGTTATCTTGTGCTCCCCAACTGTATTAATTAGCAGGTCTGCAAGTAAAATCTTCACATGAACAATGTCCATGGAAGTAAATGTAAGATTTCAAAATCAAAACTGTTGTAAAGTTTTTATGTCTGCATAACCTATACAGAAAAATGGTTGCACTTTTATCTGCTTTGTCTTGAAAAAAAATAGATTTTTAGTTGTAACTCATGCCATATCTTGTCTACGACAGCCACCACTTCTAGTTAGTCTGGTGAAGAAGAAATAAAACTCAACATAAACCCAATACAACTCAAAACTCTAATAAAATTGATAGCACAGTTTTTCAACAGGGACAATGCCTTTCCAACCCAGACTAGTTAATCTGTAGTCTGAATTACGTTTTGTATTAATTACCTTTATATATAAGTAGTTTATGGTTGGTTTATTTTACATATTTTGCCAAATACTTGTCACATTTTACTGTGACAGGGAGTTCCACAAATTAAATCTGTGTTGTTTCTTTATTTTGGAAAGTTTAATTTTGCCTTTACATTTCATAAATGATATCTTTGTTCATGGATGATAAGACAATGAGATGAAGCTCCCTATTTATCTTTTCAGTATTCTGATTGTTTTTTGTATGTTTTCTCATGGTGCTGCCTTAATCTGTTTTTAAACAGGCACATTTTTTAAAATCATATTTCACTTCGTTACAGTATCGAAATACAATAATGCTATTATTGTTAGTTCACTTTTCCCTACAGTGATTCTATTTGTGATGATTTTCCCTCTGTGGCACACTTCCACCAGTGTGGCTCTTTTATTATTCTAGCTATTCATTGTTTTGAATTTCATAACTTTGAATTGCGTTCAGCAGAATATGATGCTTATTCAACCAGTTTAATGGGACACTGAATGTCTTCACAGTCTTCTGTAAGGGGATATTTTTTGGTTAAAAAAAAAAAAAAAAAAAAAATTGACAAAGAATCTGGTTGTGTAGAGATTTTTTTGAATAATTTAAAGAAACTGTGGTTCACTGAAGAAAGCAGATTCTTTGTGTTTTATTGATGAAACATCTATAGCAGTGTATGAAGAAAAACAAAAACTCTCTTTTCTCAACCACAAAACCTAGGAATACATTATTCTGGAAGCAGATTTCAAGAAAATGACACTAAAAACTTATCAAATTATAAATTTTATTCAGATGATGTGTGACAAGTTTTACTTGATTGATATTTTCTTCTGATTGAACATACTCTTATCTTACATTGTCTGTCAGGTAATAAATATTGAGATACTTATGAATGTGATTAAAACAGTTGATGGAAGGTTATTTTTCAAGGCTTTCTACTGCTTCTTGAAAATGAATTGTGCCTCTGAAATAAGATGGTGCGTTTGAAAAGGGAAAATTACCTACATTTTTAAAATCTAGCCAAAAAAAAAAATGATCAGGGAGGGCAGATTGAAGAGGGATTTGATTTATTGTTACACTTCCCAAATTAAGGAATATTATTGAAATGAGAATGAGCTCTTCTTTCTGTATTTTGAAAATCTGTGCTTTTTGGTACCTAGTGTTAAAAAAACAGCTTTTCTTGCTACAGAATGTAACTTAAATGACTTTAATATCACTCTTTATTACTTGTAAAAGTATTGAGTTAGTATGTAAAATATTTTCCTATTGTTTTTCTTCTTTTTCTTTAATTGCTAGAAATAATTTTTCATAGGTGTACGTATTTTTTAAATCCAAAATAGTAAATAATGTTCATAATTCTGTTCTGCTTGTTCCCAACTTTGTATCACTTAAGTAACCAGGCAAATTTGTGGATGTGAATTTTTTTAAAGTAGATTATTGTTTTCATTGGAAGAAGTGTAGCACTTTAATTGAAGCCTTCCTTTATTTTGAAGATGAGGCTATCTTACTGCTAAGGACTAACCACTATATTAGTCAGCATGTACCAAGGGAAATTAATTGACTAATGAAAAGTCAGTATGAATAAGTCGTGTTACAGAACCTGTCCTCAGAGTCTGAAGTTCTGTTTAGCAAGGTATTTTCATTATTTCATCCCGTATGTTAAAAAATTAATTTCCTGCAATATTAATGTTTTGATGCTTTGAATCAACTGAAGTGCATAAATTACTGTATGTTTCAGTGTAGAAAAATTCAGAAACAAACCTTTTCACGTCATAGCCTTTTGTGTTCACACGTACCAATCTAGCAGCTAAACTCGAAGTCAAGCAATAGCATGCTTTAGAATCCATTGCAAATACAGGATTATGAGACATGACTCCCAATAGCTTGTGAATTTATCAGTTATTCCTATTTCAAGAACTGAGAGCAATTGCATGCCTTAAAACTCTTAACTTCTGAGAGTTCACAAGTGTAAAATGCTGAATAACCTTCAAACGTATTTCATGATGTAGCCGTTAAACACAAACTTGTATCAAGAATAAATGTCATGTACTTTCTGCATCATATTTAAGTAAGCTTTCAAAATCCTGTGCTTAATAGAATCTATGGAGATGACATGGTCGTTATATTTTACTATACTGTGCTTTACTAGATTTTAAATGTGGCATGTGCAATTCTATGTGAGAAATAGAGTTTAATATTCATACAAAGAAATATTGAGAGTCGTGAGTTTATGACAGGCATTCTTATCTACATAGTTTTCAGGTGTGAATATTTTGTTTTGGACATTCTAGACATTCATAAAAGCATCTTAAAATTATAATCTAGTAGCAAGCTCAGAGAAGTATTAAACACTTTAAAATATATGTTGTATGACAGTAAATTATTTTGTTTTCAATTTCTATTATTGTTGATAGCATTATGCTAATCAATTGCAGAAGAAATAGAAATATTTTGTTATTTCATAAAATAAGTTTGTGGTAGCCAACAGGCTGTATTCTGGCTCTGCCCCTTCAGATTTGGTAACAACTGCACATTTCAAAAACAAATACA